TCAAAAGTTCCCTCTCTGAGGGATGGTGGGTCCTGGTCCTACAGGAAGAGAAACTGCAGCAAATTGTGACATCAAATTGCTCCTGCCAGTTCAGCAGAAGTGAGCAGGACTTCCTGTTTTTTTTTTTCATGCCTCCATAGAGCAAAGCCCAGAGGTCTCAGGGCCAAGGCTTAGCTGAAGACGCAGTCACCTGCCTAGCCAGCCCAGTATTGTCTTAGAGTGAGAAAGTGAACACCTTTCCAAAGCATAGTTCTCCCACTGTCCTGCACCCCATTTCCATCTATGGTCTGACCCTTGGGCTCACTGACCCAGGGATTTCCTTTCCAAGGAAGGGATGGAGAGGAGACATGCTGGCAGGCAGTTTTGATCACATGTTGGGACCAACCAACCCTGAGCACTTAATGAGACTTCTAAAGATGGCTGTCTGTCCACGGGAAGATGGGGGTGTAAAGCACAGCATTTGGAGAGCGTGGTAAAACGCTTGGCAATTCAGGTAAAGTAAGTGCAGGAGGCAGAGGCTGGAATAATGGGGGGGGGGCTTTCCCATGGCTTTCTGCACTCCCCTCCTCATGCCCAAAATTATTAAAGTCATGAATAACCTAGTGGCCTCCATCCTCACCCCCATTCTCTCCTCTCCTTCCTTCCAAGGGGAAAGGTGGTTACAGGGCCGCTCCCAGGATCGCTCACTACAGGGAGAATCTGCTACCAACCAGAGAATAGTGGGCCAGCACTGGAGCATCCTGTCAGTCTTGAGAATGGGGGTGGGGGGAGAGGGATGGGACCACAGAGAACAGAATGCCAGCGCATTGAGGACCAGGGAGACCTTGAGGAGTGTTTAGGGAGGGGAGGTGCCTGCCAGGCCTCATCTGAGATAAGAGAGACATGGCAAAGAAGTAGCGGCAGCTTCCTTATAAACTAGAGACTTTTTAGGGCGCTTTGGAAATGCAAACACATAGAATTTATGTATTTGTAAGTCATGTGGGCAATTAGATCATGCTTCTTTGAAAGGAGAACTATTTTAGACAGGATATCAAGAATTACCTGGGTTACATTCAGACCAGTCTTCTCTCCCTCACAGAGAATAGCATGACAGAGACAAGATCAAAAGATGAAGTTCAGGATTTAAAAAAGGAAATCAGGTTAGGCATGGTGATGGATGTCTAATCCCAGCTACTTGGTTTTTTTGTTTGCTCGGTTGGTTTTTGTTTTTGTTTTGTTGGTCGTGGGGCCTGAACTCTGGGCCTGGGCGCTGTCCCTCAGCTCTTCAGTTCAAGGCTAGTGCTCTACCATTTGAGTCACAGCATCACTTCTAGCCTTTTCTGCTCATGTGGTGCTGAGGAATCGAATCCAGGGCTTCATGCATGCAAGGCAAAACACTCTACCACTGAGCCACCTTCCCAGCCCAATCCCAGCTATTTGTGAGATAGAGATAAGACTGCTGTTTGAGGCTAGCCTGTAATTTCAACTATACAGAGGAACAACGTGAGACAAGTCCTGGGCAACGGACTCTAAGACTTCATCTAAGAAATAATGAATGCAAAAAGGGCTGGGAGGTTAGCAAGCATGAGGCTCTGAGTTCAAATGGCAACATTATCAATCAACAAACGATCTGAAAAATAAGAGGCCATTCTATTTTATAACATAACCAAGAATTTCTAATGTGACAGGCTCAGATGAGCTCCTGCAAGAAGCAGGGTTGCTGGATGACAGAGGTGAGAACCACGAGCTATACAACACAGTTCACACAGCCAAGCTACTGGAATTTTCCAAGTGGCAAGTATGTCATTGAACAAACCCAAGCTTCTCTGAATGGATACAACGAGCCTTCCTCCTGAAGTTATTCTGGCCATGCTCACCCTAAATAAACAAGGTATTTATGCTTCCTGAACCTCAGTTTCCTTTTGTTGCAAGATGGAATTGATCTCAACTTTCCTGCCTACCAAGGTCTGTTCTGTGTTTTGGTACCAGTGTATAATTTGATATACTCTGTGATTCTCCATATTTTATTGTTTGGATTGCTTATAATTTGATTTCAAAAGCTTTTTCCCTGGTCTTGACCTCAAGTGTGTGTGTGTGCATATGTATGTGTGCATGCGTGCATATTCGTGTGCATGCACACACGTGCACATGCACTGGTTCTGGATCTTGAATCACAGCCTCAGGCTCTTGCTTGCTCATGGCTGGTGTTCTTCCACTTGACCACATTTTCACTTTCAGCTTTTTGCTGGTTAATCGAAGAGTCTCAGACTTGTCTGCTTGGGCTAGCTTCTAACCTCAATCCTCAGATCTCAGCCTCCTGAGATTACAAGCATGAACCACCAGTGCCTTGCCTTTAAGATAATTCTTGTTTCCAGTGATTACCTGCTCCCCCCTCTAAAAAATCACCAACATCCCCATATTATATTTTAATTTTTAAAATTTAATCTTTCTTATTGTGAAGTTATATATCACGTTAACTATTCAGACAGTTGGATAGCATTTGATATATTCACAATGTTGTGTTTGCCTTAGCAGTTCTACCAAAATTAAGTTAGCCACTTTTAGGCAGAAATAGTAGCTACGCTCTTTACCTGTAAATTCTCCCACAGCTTATGCGGAAGCTCTACCCACACAACAGTGGCATTCTTTCTGCCTTCCCTCAGTCCCTGCCTCCTCTCTGCTTCCCCAGGTTTTTCTAGAACCACACAATATTTGGCCTTGTTGTGTCTGCTTATTTCACCAAATAAAATTGTTTTCGAGGTCCATCTGCACTGTACTAACAAATCTCACTCCTTTTGGCTAAGAAGGGACGCATTGTTCGTAGACACCACGTGGTGATTTTCAAGCCTCTGTGGGTGGACCTGGGGGAGGGGCTTCCTCCTAGGGGTGGGGCTTCCCTCGGGCTGTGGATCATAATAGTGATGGGAACATGGGTGTCCAAATATCTGTACAAGTCCCTAATCAAAACCAGCAAACGCTGTTCCTACAACAGCAATGGGTGGGATCGTTTAGAAGATGTTTAAAATGCAAAAGCGTATGATGTCTTCACAGGTGATGGATGGTTTGTCCTTTGTAATAGGAATTCCCGTACAGGAGCTCATTGTCTTGGAAGAGGAAGTGGGCTTCAGGGAGGCCGAGGGCAGGAGGCAGACCTCATGAGGCTGAGTGGCTAGTGTGACTGCCTGATGCCAGGATGGGCACTGTCTAGGGTTAAGCAACATGCCCAAGTTACAGAGACAGAACCCCACACTTCAGACGCTGTCCAGGTCTCATTATGCTTCACCTGCTTTGTGAACACATTTGCATCCCCCAGCCCTGTGTCTGTCCTGCCTTCTGCCTGTAGCGTTTTTCTGTGTCTCCTCTCTCCTCCCCCATCCACTGCTGTCCAGCAGCCCCTGCAGAGACTCTGCTCCTTCATGCTTCCACGCCCATGGGGGAGCTTCAAAGGGTGGCTTGCAATGATAGTGGGGAGATCTGACACCCCTATCTCCCATCAAAACCATTCCCCAAATCATCCCATCTACAGAAGAAAAAAAAAATCCTCTACTAGCTATGCAAATGCAGCAGACCAAGGTTAAATTCCAAGTGACCCCAAGCCTCCCTGTGTGGAAATTCTGGAACTGGCTTCTGAGGTATAGGAGAAGAGATGGGCAGACCAGTGCTCAGGGTCGGGCAGAGAATGTGAGCTGGGGGAAGGAAGAGGGTGATGGTTCTCTTCTATCACCCGCAGGGCCCTGCCGTGCCAGCCAAGGGCACCCAGCTACTGCTGTGTGATCGAAGCAGGTAGACAGAGACACCAAGATGAGACCGGAGTTGTGAGCAAGGCCACTGAACAGGAGGCCCTGCAACATAGCCGTGTCCCTAAGCATCGTGGTTCCCGCCCGGGATTCCCGCTCAGCAGCTGAAGCCCTGGCTTGGTCCCGGTTGCTCGCTGGCCTATGTTTGGAAGGAAGCCTTTCATGCCTGCTCTTACCCCTGGATATACCTCCCGAGCACAGAGTCTGGGGAGGTTTGCCTTGCCACCATTGCCTTGCTGATGCGTCCTGGCTGAGGGGCTCAGACCCACCCTAGCTGTTGCCACCAGCGGCCTTTTTGCTGTGCCACACTCGTCTCTGTCTGGCCTTTCCAAGCCCCTTCCCCGCGCTGCCCTCTTTGCTCAGCGTCTCCCCCGCACTCTCCCATCGCTGGACGGCGCGTCAAGGATGAACATCCTTCTGAGGGTGCACAGAGGCAGAACTGACAATGGCCCTGTCACACCCTGGGTCCCAGCTGTCCCCAGGGAGGTACACGCTGCTGATCTGCGCCCCACACCCCCTTAGCCAGCAGAGATCAGCCCGCTCATCCCAGCATGCAAGAAGTGTGTGTTTCACCCCCTCCACCCCCGACACAAACGACACTGAGTCCTAACGGGTTCGCGCCCCCCCCCCCCCCCCAGGTCACTTCACTCAACTTCTTCCCTGGTTCTTCCCTGCTGGGCAGCGCGTTCCATCCTTCCATTCACACTTTCGCCTCCTTAACACGTGCAATCCTGCAACCGGATGGGACTTTCTCTAGGAGAGTGTGACATTACCGCCCGTGGTGATTGTGTGTGTGTGTGTGTGTGTGTGTGTGTGTGTGTGTGCGTGTGATCTCGGCTCAACCAACGTCCACCGCTTCCTGTCCCCCCCACTCGCAAGGTCAGTCCTTCATCAGATGGAAACGTCCACAGCAAAACTTCTCCAACTTAAGGAGCATTCACATCTCTTGGGGTGGGGGGGAGGCTCACCCCCCCTGCCCGCCCCCCCCTCGCCCCAGTCCTGGCTCCGGGGAGGGGAGCTGAGATTGCGGTTTCTTCTCCTCCCGAGCGCGCGCGCAGGGGATGGCTGCCCTCGCTGCCCGCCCGCGTTCGCAGCGCACCGCCCGGCACCACCTGTGGAGCAGGCAGCGGCCGGCTCCCCGCAGAGGCTGCGGGAGAGGTCTGTGCGTGTGGAGGGGTGTCGGTCTCGCCCCCGGGCAGGTGGGGCGCCGCCGGGGTCCCTTACCTATGGTGGACACGACGGTGCCCACGAAGTAGAAGGCGCCGGTGAAGTCCCAGCGCGGACGCACGCTGTCCACGCGCACGCCCGCGCGGGCGGCTTCCTCGTAGTGGCGGAGGAAGCCGCGCAGCTCGTCGCGGCTCAGGTTGTGGCCGCGGCTGAAGTTGGCCAGGCGCTCCTCCCAGCGCTGCTTGGCCTGGCGCTCGTGCGCCAGCTCCAGCGCCGAGAACACGGCGGCGCCGCCCAGCAGGTAGAGCAGGATGAGCGCGGCCAGCAGCGCGAAGCGCGCGTTGTCCTCGTTCAGGTGCCCGGGGCCGCAGCTGCAGCCCCGGCCGGCCATGGCCGCGGTCCTCCCGGGGCTGGATGGGGAGGGGGGGAGCACTGCCCCCCCCTGGGGGGAGAGGGTGCGGGGTGCTGCTCACCCCGCCTCGGGACGCCCCGCCGCCGGCGCGCCCATGGCCGCCAGGCGTCCCCCCCGCGCCCGCGCCGCTCCGGTGGGGCCTCCGCCGCCGGCTCCCCGCTTTCGAATCCGCTCGGTGGCCGCCGTCCCCGCCTCCCCCGCCCCCCCGCCCCCCCGCGCTCCTCCGGAACGTTCGCCGGAGATCCGAGCGTCCCGCCGCCCCGCGCGCCTCTGCCGGGCACGAGGCTGCGGGCGCCCGGCGTGCACCCCGCCTCCCCCGGCCCGGGAAGGGGGCGTGGCGCGTCCTCGCGGCCAACTCGGGCGGACTCGAACTCGGCCCGGAGCGGACGCCGCGGATGGCGGGGCACCGGCGGGTAAGCGGAGCCTCGGGGTGTGGCGGCGGCGGCCGGCGCTTCCCCAGGTGTTGGTTGGAAGGCTCGGACGGGGCGGGGGGGGGGGGCGCTGCGCGGGATCGGGGTGGGGGGTGCGCGGTGCCGAGTCCTTGCGGCCGGGCGGAACCGGACTCGGGCCTCCGGAACGACTCACAGCGGGCGGCCGAGGTTGGGGGGACGGGAGGGGCAGGGTGGGGGAGCTGGCACAGGTCCCGCACGGTGCCGGGCGGCGTCTGCGGACTCGGATCTTCCGCTTGGCTCCGGCCCGGCGCGGCGTCCAGCAGGCGAAGCGGCTGGAGACAGAAAACCAGAAAGGGAGGCTGCATCACGGGAGCGAAGGAAGGCCGGAGCCTCTCCCCGGGCATCGTCCCCTGAGCGGCCTCCTCCCCACCCTCGACAGCCTCACCTTCCCGCAGCTCTCCCGCCTGCCCGGGCCACCACGCCCTGGTCCCCTGGGCGCCACACTGGATGTCTTCTCCCCGCCCCCCCCCCCACGTGTTTGGCTTTACCAGCCCGGCTCCCTGGAGAGCGGCCCGGATGACCGGGAGTTCCACCTGGGCCACCCCCTGGCTTGGCTGCCTGCCCCTGGCCCCTCAGTTCTCGCCCACGGTGCCCTGCAGACCAGCAGCCGGGCTCTCCGGCGATCCGCCGGGCGCCCTGCCCGGTCTCACCCCCTGGGCGGCCCTGGGGGCCCAGTCCGTGGGCGTCCCGCGGTGCCCACGCGCTTGGCTTCCCAGCCCCGCGCGCTCAGACGCAACAGGTGGAGCCCCGCAGCTGCCGGCGGCCGAGCCCTCCCCACCGCCCCACCCCGGGCCTCGGGGACCGTCCTCGCCACCCTCCCCCTCCCAACACGGGTCCCCGCCCGCAGGGCCCCCCCCCCCAGTGCGCAGACCCCCAAAGAGCGGAGGAGGTGCCCATCTGGACTGTAGGGCTCCCTGGAGGACAGGAGAGGGCGCTCCGTGCTCTTCACACACACATCTGCCCCCCTCACCCCCCCCACCCCGTCCCCAGTTCCACGTGGCCCCTCCAGTCACCCGCCAAGGGCATGTGGGAGACAACACCGACGCGCAAAGGAATGGCTACGTGAGCATCTGGGAGATGAGATTCTCCCCACGAGCCCATCCACCCAAGACCCTCATTAGGAACAGATAGCCTGCTGTATTAAAGGCAAATGCTCCCCTGTGGCGAGTTCCCCCTTCTACCCAGCCTTTTGGGGGTATGAATCTTCCCAGAGTAAATACTGCAATTACCTTCATTCATTCGGCATTTGATTATGGAAAACTGGCAACAGACCAATAAAGTATGTTTACAGTGCCACCCACAACTCACCCTCCCCCCTCCCCAGTCTACAGTGAACACTGTATGATGTTTATTATATATCTTGCTCCTCTTTCCACCATCCACCCTAGATAGAAACCAGGAATGTTACACATCGGAACGCTCATTTTTAATTTTTTTTGTTATTATAAGGACGGTGTACAGAGGGGTACATAAGACAGGCAAAGAGTACAGTTCTTTTTGCACAATGTCATCCCTTCCCTTGCTCTCTCCCAGTTTTTCCCTCCCATCCCACCCACAAGTTGTAGAGTTCATATTCCACATAGTATGTAGTGAGCACCACTGCTGCATTTGTTCACCCCTTGTCCCTCCATTTCTATGCCTCCCCGAAGCCTCCCAAAGACAGATAAAGGAACAAACAAGACAAAAAGAGAACAAAACCAGTAACAAGCAGAAAACCTCTTACTTCCATTTCCTGGAGTTCATTTGGATACGAATTATTTTGTATGATCAGATGCACATAGCTATTGAGCCTTTGTCTTTCTCTCCTAACATAGTGCAGCATTCCTGTACTGTTGGTGAATGGGCTTCTGACCTGGTAGTGAACTGCACGGTCAGAGAATATATGTAAGTATTTATTTCCGTTAGAAACTTCCTGACATTTGTTTCAAAATAGTGTACTAACCTCTGGGTGCCAACCTCCTGATGCTCAAAATCCTCCAAACTCTCGGCAGTATCCATCATCTTAGTTTTAAATGTACTTTATCCTGGTGGATATCTAGTGCTATCTCATTGTGGTTTTACGTTTACATCTCACTGATGTTTCATATATTGGTTGGCCATTTTTCATCTTTCTTTATAAACTTTATGTTGAAATATTTTATCCATTTAAAAATTGGTCTGTTATTGAGTTATTGGGATTATTTACATATCTACGAGTTCCTTCTCAGATACATGCAGTGCAATTCTACTTTTGGCTTGCCTGTTTAGTTTCCTAGCAGTTTTCTGTCCCTCTCTCCTTCTTTCTTTCTTCTTTTTTTTCTTTCTTTTCCTCTTTCCTCAGTCATGGGGCTTGAACTCAGGACCTTGGTGCTGTCCCTGAGCTCTTTTGCTCAAGGCTTGTGCTCTAACACTTTGAGCCACAGTGCCACTTTTGCTTTTCTGGTGGTTAATTGGGGATTAGAGCCTCAAGGACATTCCTGCCCAGGCTGGCTTTGAACCATGATCCTCAAATCTCAGCCTCCTGAGTAGCTAGGATTACCAATGGCACCTGATCCTAAGTCTGCTTTCTGACATGAGTTTTTCACTATGGCAAAGGCCCTATGTCAGTCTTTCATATTTAGTGTTCTTCATATATTAAGCTATTTATTGTTGTGTCTATTAGTATCCATTTTAAAGTTTGTTTCTATATGGTGAGATCAGAGTTAAGGTTCCCATTGATTGAGGAGAAAACTTTGAATGAATTTATTTCTGGCATCTGCACAGGGTTCATTAAGCCAATCTCACAGTATTTAGATCGCTTAAAATTAGGGTAGATCAAGTTTGAGGCCAGGCCAGACAAAAAGTTAGGCCCTCATCTCAATTAATAAGCCATGTATAATCCCAGATACATAGGAGACAGAGGTAGGTGGATAAGAAAACGCTGAGTACCCAGGATTACATGCCAGCTCTCATGAAAATATTGATAAAATACGATTGAATGAAAAATTAGTGGTCTCTAAATTATAGTAAACTCAATCAAACCAAGTCAGCTCACAATAGTCTAAAGAACCTATGAATAAACAGCCAGCCAAGGCAAACAGCAGCAGCATCCAGGTCCTTGGGGTCAGAAAGAATGTGTGCTGACTTAGCCAGAACAGACCCAGCACTGCAGACCAGACACAACTCTTGTTTATGATCTGGAAACATGTTTTTTCCCTCTCATAAGCTGAAGACTATGGGCCTCACAGTGTGACAATGATTTATGAAAATATAATCAAATTGGCCTGTAATAAATGCTTTGGGGGTGCAATTTTTCTCTTGCCTTTCTTCTCTAAACTTGTCTTTATTTGTGCATTAAAGAAGCAAGATTGAACAGGGTAGAGGTGGCTCACGCCTAAATCCTAGCTACTTAGGAGGCTGAGATCTGAGGATTTCAGTTCAAAGCCAGCTTGGGCAGGAAAGTCCATGAGACTCTTATCTCCAATTAACCACCAGAAAACTGGAAGTGGTGTTGTGGCTCAAGTGGTAGAGCACTCCCTTTGAGCTGAAGAGCTGAGGGACAGTGCCCAGGCCCCAAATTTAAGCCCTAAATTCAAGCCCCAATACTAAGAACAACAAAAAAAAGGGAGATTGATCCAGGTGCCTTCTGCTTAATAAATTGCCATGGGGCTCTTTGAAAACCTTGTTACAAAGGAACAAGACACAGTGAATGGAGACATTTGGCTACATGAACCACCCATGTGGGTCAAGCTCATCCACTGGAGCTTCTCATAGAACTAAAGGTCAACATGCAGAAACTAATTAAGACTCTGCTTTGAGATGGAATTGATTATACTGAGATTTGTAAAGCTTTGGATCCATCTGCTCACCTCTCATTTTATGAAGTATCTGCTTTTACAGTGCCCCAGTCTTCCTCATCTCTAGCATCTTCCCAACACTTAGCCTTGTTTCTCTCTGCCCTGGACTTAAGGCCTGGTGGGTCAGTCTGGGAATTTAACAAAACATTCTATCATGCAATTCTTTGCTCTCCTCTACACTTAGCTCAAAAGGAGTGTGGCAGTGAGGTTTGGTCTGAATAATTCAGCAATTCAGTCTTGCAGACAAATGTGATGTTTGGTGATTTTTTACATACCGTTCCTTAGTTGTCATGCTGACCAGGATTCACCATGACAATGGAGGAACACACAAATTTCAGTCCACCAAATCTGCTTCTTGGCTGGAGTCAGGAATATCTGTTTGCTGCCCAGATGTGGAACATAGCCCTGGATCTACACTCCCTAGGTTCAAATCCCACCTCTGCCCTTGCCAGCAGGGTGATTTTTGGACAAATAAATCTGACTAGGTTTCCTCCCCGCCCCCGTCAACTTGTGAATGGGGATGGATCACAGTATCCTGATTGGCTGAACATAACCAACAGAACAGGCCTTGGCAGTAATGTCCTGTAGTCTTCTTATACAAGCACTGGTTTCCTAAAACATAACTTAGGTGTTGATGGGAATATAGTAAGAAATGGCAGTTTGTAGTTCTTAAGCCATGAATAGTTGCTTGAAATAACCAGCCTATTAAAACCTGGGGAATTTCTAAAGGTTTTATCATCCTAGGATCTGACCTATGCACAACATGTAGTTAGCACATAATTGATTGAATTTTAGATTTACCCCTACACTTAGAATCAAGCTAGTTTTATTCCTGCCAACCATTGTGTTCCTGTGCTGACTTTTGCTGCACTTTGTCATGTACGATTAATATCATTAATCCATCAATATAATTGCTGCATTTTAGGAATGTAAATAAAGAACGCCTACTTCATTTTGAGGCACTCTTAAAATGCGAAGTTCTCTTTTGTGAACTTAAAGAAGGGGTTACAGTTGCAATTCTTTCATAACCAGAACAAAAAGGCCTCAAGATTTGTTACATCTAGGTCATTCAAATAGTCCTACAACTGGTCAAGTTTCAATATGAGTTTCCTGAGAAAAATAAACTTTTAATTTCACATGGGAAAAAAAGACTTATCAGTCAAATCCAATTTTTTTTTTTCAGTCCTGGGGTTTGAACTTAGGACCTCATGCTTGGTAAAGTAGGTACTCTACCAACTTGAGCCACATTTACAGCCCTTCAAGGTTCTTAAGCATACCAGGTTTGATGCATAAACTGGTAGTCACATAACATTAATAATTTCTATAAAAGGAAAAACATCTACCTTATACCAAAGTTCCCCGGGAAAGGGAGCGGGGTCTGTGTGGTGTGGCCTGGTGCAGGAGAGGGTGCTTCTGAACAGGTGTCTCTTCATGTGGGACATCCTGTTGTCTCCGATCCTTAGTTTTTTCATCTGTAAAATGGGGCTAATAATGGTTACTGTGTTAAGAGTAGTACTGCAGGCTGGGAAGTTGGCTCAGTGGTAGAGTGCTTGCCTCGCATGCATGAGGACCTGGGTTCGATTCCTCAGCACCACATAAGCAGAAAAAAGCTGGAAATGGCGCTGTGGCTCAAGTGGTAGGGCACTACCTTGAGCTGAGGGACAGCGCCAGGCCCAGAGTTCAGCCCCCCATGACCAACAAAAAAAAATAAAACTAGTACTGGGTAAGCCAGGAGCTGGTGGCTACTCAGGAGGCTGAGATCTGAGGATCAAGGTTCAAAGCCAGTGAGGGCAGGGAAAGCCATAGTAGAGCTTGTGGCTCAAGTGGTAGAGAGCCACTTGAGCACAATAGCTTAGGGACAGGGCCCAGTCCCTGAGTTGAAGCCCCAGGACTAGCACAAAAAAGGAGACAAGGAAGCAAGCAAGCAAGAGAAGGTAAATGTGAGGATTAAGTATAAAACACTTTAGCACTGGAACTGAACTATAGGTAGAACTCAGGAAAATGTGGAGATATTCAGCTTCCCAATCCAGTGAACTTCAAGGTTGACTTATTTATATCAACAAAACTAACATACAGATTCCTCAGGAATATGTTCAATAAGTAAGTTAAAAGTTGATCTTCCTCCCTCACCCCAGGTGTCAAGGCAGGCCATTTTCCTCTCCCTGTGGGGCTCCATAAGGAATGGGGAGACATGAAGTCTTCCCACTTCAGCATTCCTCCGGTCTCTGCAGCTGTCAATCATTCAGCAGGTCTGGTGGCAACTCATTATCTGGTGTGAAAAAACTCGTTTAGACTTGAGGTTCCCACATCCACCTCCATAGCAGGATAGCAGGGGGCACTGCCAAAGAACACAGCATCCCCCCTTTTAATGGAAAAAAGGACAGGAATTCCTTTTGTCCACATGTAGAAATACACACGCAGATCAGTCTTTGTTGACAGTCTACAAAGAAGCAAGAGGTTGAAGCTTTTGTGTGGTTTATTTATCAGAAGGCATGAAAAAGGCACTGGATAGTGTTTGTATGAGGCCCGAGAGGGAGGAGATGGGGGCTCAGGACAGAAGGGATGTCCTGCTTCAGGAGACGTTTGCTCCAGCCCTGGTCTCATTCCTGGGTCTCAGCCCCTGAAACAGCCTTCATGTGTTCTTCACCCAGCCTTGTTTCCAGAGCCTCTGCCTGGGTGGACCTGGACGGTTTTGCTGGGTACAGGAGTGTGGCAGGAGAGACTGATCTGTGTAAAGGAGCAGCAAGATCAGGAGGACCCCTGGTGCGTGAGCTCCAGCAGCACTGAGCACCAGTTGCAGCTTGTATGTGTGCCCAGCATGCATGCACACTGGATGTGTAAGTGGCTCGCGTTACCCTTGCTAGTGTTTACCACTACCCTGTCCAGCAGCCACAAGGCAGAGGTGCAGAGACACTGACAGCTCAGGCCACACAGCGCCTGGAAGCTACCACTGCCACCATGCAGTCCCCTGCCCTCCTCCATGGATTCTGTTTCTTTGCTACAATCCCTGTGGTCACCTGGCTGAGCAGTGGACACCTGCTCAGCTTGTGGGCTGCTATAGCCAGTACAGGATTCTCTAGCTTCCTCCATGACTTCTTGGCATCTCTGATATAGAGTCTGAAGTCCTGGTACATTCACTGGGGGTCAGGAAGCCTAAGCCTTAAGTTTCTTACAAAATCAAGTCATCTTTTAGGATTTCTTTCAAGTAAAATGTTTATGTGCTTCTTGTATGACTCTGATCTGTCTTTTCTGGAAATTTCTGGGGCTGGACGGAGGCATCTATCAGTGTAGGGAAAGGCTGAGAAAATGGCAGGGGTGGGGTCGGATGGGACCATCCATAAACAGGAAGCAGGAAGCAGGGCAGGGTGCCTGACAGGGATGAGAACTTTGAGAAGCTGAGGCTGAAAGCTAGGTGAGCTTCAGGAGATGGAAGCAGCTCATCCAGGGATATGAACATCCACAGAAATGTCCAGAAGCCCCTAGGAGACACACGCAGGAGGCTGCGAGGTGGAAGGAACCAAGGATCACATTCTTTCTCTGAAACGTTCTGTCAATGGCTGCATAGAGACCAGTGGAGGCACCAAGCACAAGGTCAAGGTCAAGGTCAAGCTCCAGTCCAGAACAGCTATTATGGCATCTTCAGCACCCTGAGGATGGTTTCATGTCACACCCGCATACATTTCTAACTCGGTGCAGTTTAATAGCTTATTCTCCAAAGCAGAGAAAAAGAAATTAAGAAAACAACACTTATTTTCAGTGAGAATGTTGAGAATGAACCATTAAAAGCACAACCGACATCTCTGTTCCCGAGTGACCTTTGCAAACAGTTTTGTGGGTGCAAATAGGACTTTTAGGGGAGGTGAAGATCCAGTGAGAACAATGTCCAGTGTTCTGGACGTTCTTCCATGCCCGGGGCGAGGGGCTCAGCATCGCCTGACCTCACAGCGCTGGATATCAGGAGGGTACCCACATGTTCCCGTGTGTGTCTGGTGCTTTGACGTAAGGAATATTCCAGATCCATGGCCGATCTGGGGAAAGAGCACATGGCATACTCTTTATTTGAACAGAATCAGGCAACCTTCACTCCGTGTACTCCAATCTCTACGTAGCCAGGCAGCATGTTCTCTGAATCAAACACCTGCAGACAACTTTCGTAAGAGCTCATGTTAGGAGACAGGGTTATATGAGCATGAGGAAGCAGACCAGTAGAAACCTAGGTGAGTTTTGGCACTGCCACACTGGCAAGTCCCTCTACCAGTCTGTTACTTGCCAAGGAGCTGTCATGAGGAATAAATGACAGCGATCCATGTAGCGTGCAAGACATTGTGCCTACACCCAACAGAGGACAGCTATTCCTTGCTTCTTTTAGGAAGCTTCAGATAGCAACAAGCTGGGTGCTGGTAGCTCATGCCTGTAATCCTTCCTACTCAGAGACTGAGAACTGAGGATCCTTGGTTAGAAGCCAGCTGAGGCAGCAAAATCTGTGAGATTCTTATCGCCAATTAACCAGGAAAAAGCTGATTATCAGAATGAATGCCAGGAAGTGGAAAGATGTTTCATGGGGGTGACTTATGGAACTGTAATCCTTTTGCACAATTACATCATCATCATCATCATGACATTAAAAAAAGATAGAAGTGTTTCAAGTGGCAGAGCACTGAGCAAAAAAGCTCAGGGACAACACCCAGGCTCTGAGTTCAAACCTCAGGCTGGGCACCAAAACAAAGCAAGCAAGCAAGCAGGGAAGCAAAAAGAAAGAAAGAAAAAAAGAAGGAAGGAAGGGAAAGAAAGAAAAAGGGAAAGAAAAAGAAAAAAAGGAAGAAAGGAGGGGAAAGAAAGGAAGAAAGAAAGAAAGAGAAAGGGAAAGAAAAGGAAGAAGGATGGAAGGAAGAAAGGGAGGGAGGACGAATGAACGAATGAACAAGCAGCAGTGACAGCTTCATGCTCAAGGTCCATGTCTCTGCCTCAGCAGCTCACATGTAATGGAGTTACACTCATGGAATGCTTTGTGCTGTTAAAGGACTCGTGTTCAAATCCTACCTCCATCCCTCTGAGCACCTCAGGAAGGCATTTAGGTTCGGGCCCGAGGTTCCTCTGTGAGGCAGGAGATGGCTGGGGACTGCCATGTGGCATAAATGAGAATATGTGAATACCGTTGGCTCATTGTGGGAGCTCCCTAAATGGGAGCTTGTCTTCCCTCTGTTTAATGGATGCTTCAGAAGTTAAAACAAAAAACACTCTCAATATCACTGCTGCAAGACTCAGCCAGTAAGAGAAAAACCTACTGGGCGCTGGTGGCTCACGCCTGTAATCCTAGCTACTTAGGAGGTCGAGTTCTGAGGATCAAGGTTCAAAGCCAGCCTGGGCAGGAAAGTCTGTGAGACTCTTATCTCCAATTAACCAGAAAACTCGAAGTGGAGCTGTGGCTCCAGTGGTAGAGCACTAGCCTTGAGCTGAAGAGCTGAGGGACAGTGCCCAGGCCTGGAGTTCAAGACCCATGACAAAATAAAATAAAATCAATCTATCCACTAAGACAATGGAGCTCAGAGGACAAACAATGGTGTCAGTTTCTGTCCCCTTGGGGAGCCTCTGCCTCTGCTTGTGTGGAAAAAGAGATCAGAGCAATCTCATAGCAGCAGGCCTCAGGATGTGGGGTGGGGGAGCTGCAAAGATGGCAACAACTTATCAGAACTCTGTTACTAGTCACTGGCCTTGGGAAGACTTGAGAGCAAGAAACCCAACTCCTTTCCATTAACTTAGCAAACTTGCTGAGGGCTTGGTTCATAACAGGATGGGGGAGAGGGGGGGGCAGAGCGGTGGCTGGCCAGGCCAAAGAACTTGGATTTCATGGGCTGGGAAGGTGGCTCAGTGGTAAAGTGCTTGCCTTGCATGCATGAGGCCCTGGGTTCAATTCCTCAGCACCACATAAGCAGAAAAAGTCGGAAGTGGCGCTGTGGCTCAAGCGGTAGAGTGCTAGCCTTGAGTGGAAGAACTGAGGGATAGCACCTAGCCCCAGAGTTCAGGCCCCATAACCAGACCAAAAAAAAAAAGAACTTGGATTTCACTTCCCCCTGTGTTTGCTAGGCCACTCTTTTTCTCCTCCACTGTAAATCTCAGTGGACACCCTGATTCCTGGGGTATGAGAGCTATTAGGTCTGTTTATCAGGAATGTAGATCTGTGATCCAGATGTTTACCAGCCTGCTTAAAACTTCAAGATCACCATGGCACTCACTCCTTTCCCACAAAATAAGGCACAAAGTCCACCCCTTCCCCCGCAGGGAAAGCTAGGAAATGGCTGCCCAGAGAAGAGGTGGCTGTAGTTCTACTGTGACCACTGGCTTGAGGGAAAGCTAGTGTAAGCAATCCACCTAAATGGTCCCTTGAGAGAAAAGCTCATCTTGCAATCTAGTTACACATCTGAAATATTTGTTCAGTGCTGGCTAATGCCAGGACTTTGCTAGGTACAAAGAGAGAGGGGAGAGGAGCCAAACACAGAGGCTTCATGGTGCTTATAGCCCAGGAAGACAGACCAGGGGGACAGCACATGGCTGGTTGTGATGTGGTTTTTCCTAGGACCCATGTCCAGAAACGATGTCTCCTCTGCAGGTCTGGGCTGGGGGCTGGCAGTATGTGTTTGGATGACATTCCAAAGGTGATCTTGGTGCAACCAGAGTTCAGGATCCGAGGCTAGAGGGGATAAAACACTGTCTCCCCACCCCCCCCCCCCCCCACGCCCTAGAATAAGATGGCAGAAATTAGCAGGAGAGGACGTGGCCACATCTGCGTGGTAGTAGTGCAGAGAACAGCTTTCATGGAGAGGAGAGAGAGTAGGAAGAGGAATGAGAAGCAAGATGTGGCTGAGGAGCAAGGCCTCTTAGTCATGGCAGGGCTCAGGCTGGCAGCCTGTAGGGTTCTGATCTCTGTACCATCTTCCTGTGGTTGAAGAAGAATATCTTGTACCTCTCCTAACTCTAGGACTTAGCCCTCCAAGAGGAGGGAGAAAAGGATCATGGCAAAAGGGATGTGGAGGCCAGAGCCTGCCTGTGGGACCCTGATCAAGTTAACCTGAGCATTTTAGTTTCCGCATCTAGAAATCAGGGGTTGTACTACAGAATATTTTCGGATTGGGAAGACACAAGAAATTAATTCGTGTCACAAGCTCTTAGCTCCGCTACATAGAAAACACTTTATGGGTATTAGCTGAAATTATAATTACTACCTCCTCTCAACTCACAGAGCGTGAGCTCTGTCATCAGCCTATGTACCCTGTAGGCCTTAACAGGGTTTTGTTGTTGTTGTTTGTTAAACAATCAGGTAGGTCTAAAGTACAAACTCTTGTTCTATTTAGTAACCAGAAGCTACTGTCTGTCACCTGAGCAATCACTTTTTTTTTCCTTTGGTCTGTTGTGGTGCTTGAACCCTGGGCCTGGGTGCTGTCCCTGAGCTCTTCAGCTCAAGGCTAGCGCTCTACCACTTGAGCCACAGCACCACTTCTGGTTTTCTGGTGATTAATTGGAGATCAGAGTCTCATGGACTTTCCTGCCTGGGCTGGCTTTGAACCGCGATCCCCAGATCTCAGCTTCCTGAGTAGCTAGCATTACAGGCGTGAGCCACCAGCACTCGGCTTGAGCAATCACTTTTAATACTTTCCTCACATTTCACAAGGGCAGTCTGGGATGGGGGTGGGCCATCCTAAAGAGATAAGCTCATTAGCCTGGGAGGTACGCTCCACGCAGTGGTCTACAACTGCAGCCCTCACCACAAGGGAGGTGGAGATGGAGAGAAAAAGATGGTGAGATTCTCACTGAGAATCTCGATGTCAAGAAAAAAAAAGCTGGGTGTGGTGGTGACCCCTGGCCATCCAGCTTGTGGGAAATCTAAATATTAGGATTGTGGTTCAGGCTTACCTGGCAAACAAACAAAAGCCCCCAAACAAAAATAGTCCACAAATAAAGAGACCCCTATCTGAGATTAACCAAATAAGGTTGATGGTATGGCTCAAGTGGTAGAGTACCTGCCTAAACAAGTATGAGGCCTTGAGTTCAAACCCCAGTACCAGAAAGAAAAAGTTCCATTGTGCTTAAGCCTACTTTAAAAACAAGGAATGTGTAACACTCCAACTTGAAATACAAGGGAAAGTTCTAAAACATGCTACTCTGGTTTATCAACTTAGCAAAAGTACACCATTATTTATAATTTCAATATCAGGGTCATTTGAACCTTCTCTATAAAGAACCACACTATTAATGTGGACAAGAATGCAGCAAGTTCAAAATGAGCACTTACTTATTTTCAGGGAATTGAATAAATTATTTCCTTAAGATTCCTGATTATAAAGTCCTAAAAGCTGAGCCAAGAGTTTACTCCAGCCTGTTATATATATATATATGTGGAACCAAAACGGAAAGGGAAAGGACCAAAATCAATCTAAAAAAAAAATGTTTTAGGTTGCCTCATTTTAAAAAAAAAAAAAAAAACCCTCATTCTGGATCTTTCCAAATCAAATCCTTAAAAAATAAAATGTAGCAATTTTAAGTAACTTCAACTTCTTCCTCATTTTATATGGAAGGATAACTGAATCAACCTTGTCTCTCAGAAAACTACAATCTGGACCACGCTATGCAGTTCTGCCCATCTAGACTGAAGTTCACTTGGCTGTTTTGAGTGTGAGGGACCATTGTAAGTCAGTCAGATAACTGGAGAATGGCCAGGCAGGCCAGATGCTTAAAGCAGTTTAGGTTTGATGAACTCCTTTATAGGTATCTCTATGCGTATCAGGCCTACCTTGTGTGCCAAGAAGGTTTGAAGGAGTCTTTCTACTAACCTGAAGTTTATCAGCCTGGTTCTACCTCTTTAAATTTTTTTTTAAAGTTTTCAATTAAAAAAATTTTTTAGCTGGGCACCAGTGGCTCATGCCTGTAATCCTAGTTACTCAGGAGGCTAAGTCTGAGGATCGTGGTTCAAAGCCAGACCAGGCAGGAAAGTCTGTATCTCCAATTAGCCACCAAAAAACAGAAGTGGTGCTATGGCTCAATTGGTAGAGTACTAGCCTTGAGCTGAAGAGCTCAGGGACAGCGTTCAGGCCCTGACAAAAAAAATTAAGAAAGTTTTTAAAATGTTTTTTAATCTATTTTTGGTGGTACTGGAGTTTGAGCTTAGGGCCTCACACTTGCTAGGCAGCTGTTCTACCTTTACCATTTGAACTGTACCACAAACTTTTTGCTTAAGTGAGTTTCTAGATAGGATCTCCAGTGTTTTGGTTTTATTTGGCCTGGATTGTGATCCTCCTACTTACACTTCTGTCACAGCTGGGATGACAAGTGTGCCCTACCACGCTGGCTCTTTGTTTATTGTTAAGATGAGGTCCTGCTAATGTTTTGCCTGAGCTGGCCTTAAACCTCAATCCTCTTGAGTAGATGGGATTATAGATAGACACCAACATGCCTAGGTCAGCCACTTACATTGGGAAAACATTTGAAATAAAGTGTGTGCTGGTGGCTTATACCTGTAATACTAGCTACTTAGGAAGTGTGAATGCTGGTGAGCCTGCTTTCCAGGAGCCAGAGGGTCGGTGGCAGAGGCCCATCTAGCCTGTGACTGGTCCAGGTCCATCCTTAGCACAGGGAAGGGCTGCTAACTTGGATATGGCTTGGCCCAACTTTTCAAAAGAGTAACCTAAACTTGATGTGGGCAAAGAACTGTGCCCGTCTGGTTCACTGTTATATTCAAGGCCGCCGTGGCTGCTTACAGTAGGTGCTCAGTATGTGTCTGTGGAGAGAACCCATAAACAGCAACCAGTGCATACAGCAGGGGAGCCCAGTAGGAGAGTCTTAGTTTTTGCTTCATTTTAACTGACCATTTTCTGACCTGGGCCAAGCAGGCCTGGTGCAGATACCTCCCTACCCCATGGCTAAGTCTCTGCTCAGTATCTGTGTTACCTAGGTAACTGGCACACCTGGAAACAGTCACCTCCCCTTCCTGCTAGGTCACATCCTAGCCCACCCCCGGTCACACCTCCCATCTGACCATAGGAGGGACCCAGGCCCCGAGGTCACTTCAGGATCCAGTGTGGCCACACCTCTTCCTGTCCCTGGCCTAGATAAGTCCTAGCACTGGGGTATGTAGTCCCTGGAGACCATGTGGTCTCCACCAGGTGGTGGGGGGGGGGATTGTAGGGTGGTAGGGGATGGGGAGTGTGGCGGGGGCAGGCAGTTCGGAATAAAATAAACTTACCTTCCTGCCCAAATATCATGTGGTGTTCTCTTTGTTGGCTATCTAATTAAACCTATTTAATTTACCTTGCACTTTGCAGGTATATCTGGCTCTAACTTTTCATAGCAGTGGATTCCTTGACTAAGCTTTTTGTGTAGTCTTCAGGTTAAGGAAATACTGAATAAGATCTTTTAAGTGCTGTCCTGGTTTGGAAATTGCTTTTATGATGAAGTGCTTTCAAGTGTTCCTCCCCACTCACTTTCCTCTAATTTGGTAAACGCCTTGCTATGGTCTACACAGCTCCCTGGAGATTGGCTCTGTTTTAAATGGCGATAACTGAGTCACAGGCGTCACCTACATTTTGAATTATGTACTGGAGCAAGATAGAAAAGAGAACTGATAAAAATTAAGATGCTCCCATTCCTCTTGTATGTATCTTTCAAAGAAAGGACACCACTACCACCATCAGTAATGGCACTCTGCTTGCTGGTCAAATTAAAGATTTATCTTTCTGTGGTCTAAGGTCCAGTGGTAGATTTTGAGTTCTTGGCAGTGCTTTATCTACTGGAGGGGAAGGGACCTCGGGGTACTTTAAAGGGCCTTCAATGTCTTCCATCTTGGCAGGGAGTGTAAAGACCAGTTTCCCACACCACAGAACTGCCCAGGCCATCACAGCAGGCCTCACCTCTGCTGTGGCTACTCAGAAGAACCTGGGTTAATAGGAAAAGAAGGAACCTAAAGAACAGAGAAAGGGAGAGTAGACAAAAAGCGGAACAGAAACAGGAGGGAACAGGAAGTTTTAGACTAGACAAGCTCCCACTTGGTTGCCTGGGCTGCCTCAGCCTCCTGAGGGCTAGGATGAAAATCACTGGTCACCAATGGAAAAGAGAAGGCATACAAACGAATTCACCGTCTATTATGTGTCAGGAATTGCATCAGACATCGTAAAAGAACAATGATCATAAAAGCAACTAAGGCTAATTCTCAGCTAGACACTGCCAAGCCTATGGTCTTTCCAATGACCCTGTAAAGAAGGCACGCATACTTCCTTATTTTGTGAATGGGGACAGGAAGGGCTGGAGAAAGCAACGAGTTGCCCAAGGCCCAACTTGGAACTCTGTGGAGCTGGCACGTGAACAAGGTCTAGTTTTTAAGTAGGCTTCTCCTTTCTCAATGTTGTAGTGGCAGGAGGGTGCTCAGAAATTCTATCGAACACAATGTAGCTTTGCTAGTAGAAAGGGCTATGTATGGGCATACACAACTGGCTGCACTGGAGGAGAGGTACCTTGTTAGCCATCAGAAAGAGCAAAGTCACCTGCAGGCAGTGGACGGCACATGGGCAGCGGAGACAGGATAAGCTTTGGTCCTACATAGCAACACGAGCTAGAAAGAAATGGGGCCACCAGAGGAGGAAGTTTGGTTCACCAAGATAGCCTAAAAGTGTGAGTAAGGACAAGGAAGTTGCCAGGGCCCAGCCAGCAGTGTCTAATGAAGAAAGGGCTTTCCAGACAGGGCCAGCCCTGATAAGAAATTGATGTTAAACCTTCTCAATCAAAACATCCTAGCTGGGTGCCTATGGCTCATGCCTGTAATCCTAGTTACTAGGGAGGCTGAGATCTGAGAGTTACAGTTTGAAACTACCCTGGGCAGGAAAGTCCATGAAACTCTTATTAACCACAAAAGGTGGAAATGGAGCTGTGGCTCAAGTGGTAGAGTGCTATTCTTGAACAAAAGAGCTCAGGAACAGCACTTAGTCCTCAAGGTCAAGCCCCAGTACTGGCACAAAAATAAAAAGGAAGAAAGAAAAGAACATCTTCTGTTCAGATTTAGCATGTATGCATATTGTACTGTAGCTATTATAATATCTGTAGGTTCAGAGTCTCTCTCTCTCTTTCTTTTTCTCTCTGTGTGCCAGTTCTCCTGGATTTTGCATTATTACATAGTTTCTTTTGCTCAAGGCGGGTGCTCTATTTCAGGTACAGCTCTACTTCCTGGACCCACGTCAAAGCCACAAAGCCTGGCTCTCAGAACACCTGCCATGATATTCCACTGGACTATTTTATCTAGAAACATACTTGGTCACTGCCCCTAGCAAAGTCACAGTCCAACCTCCCTTGGAGGGGGCCGTCTGTGAGTCAAAAAACTATTTCAAGATGAGAGGACGCATCATGCTGTTGTTTTCATGTGCATGTCTGTTCAGGGAGCAGAGGTCAGGTGATGTGATGTGACGTCATCGGGCTGAGGGGGAGCAGCTGTGGCAGGCCAGCGGGTTGCTGTGACGGTGTGGTCAAGAGGCATGGGGAAGCACTAAATAATGCCACCTCCCTGGCTTTTTCCAGTTTTTACTTTTGGGAATGGTTCATAGAATGTTATCATGGATTAAAAAAAGTCAATAAACATCTAAATGTTTCTTAGTTTTAATTTCTAATGTATCTGGGTGCCAGGAGCTCAAGCTTGTAATTCTAGTTACTCGGGAGGCTAAGATCTGAGGGTAGTGATTTAGAGCCTGCCCAGGCAGACCAAGCCAAGAGACTCTGCCAATTAACCAGCAAAAAACTGGAAGTGGAGCTGTGGCTTAAGTGGTGGAGCATGGAGCCTTGAGCAGACAAGCGGGAGTTCAAGGTTCAGCATTCAAGCTCCAGTACTAGCACAAAGTAAAAAGAACCCTCTATCAGAGTAAACATCAAGAATTCTTGCAAATATAAGCTCCTTGGGATTCTCAACAAGTATAAAATTGCCAAGGGGTTTCTGTGATCCCAGATACAGTGGCAAAGAGGCCACTAGAAACCTGAGCCTCCAGTGGGCTCCATAAGAAGAGTGGGGTCTCCCAGCTATTTGTTGCACTGGGGCACAACCTCCCTCGACCCCTCTCCCCATCTCACCTTTACTCCCATACAGTTCCGGGGGCAGGTCATATGGTACAGGAAAGGGAGGCTTTCCTGTTGGCTCCCGGCTTCCAGAGAAGAATTTCTCCTTTACTTTGAAGCTGTCCAGGCCCTGAAGACACACAGAGAGGGGCCTATGATTGAACACCATTTCCTGACACCAAACAAACAATCCCCAGAAGATCCCAAGAAGCAATCGTGTCTTTATGACCTCTACAAAGTCGAATGACTTCAGAGCTATTTTCAATGTTCCACAGGCAAAACCCTTGAAATCACTTTCTTTCCTAAAAGTGTGAGAGGTTTATATAAAAGTTTGCAAGAGTTTAACAAAGGCAACAGAGAAACAATGTTGGATATGATAAGCCAGTTCTACTGAAAGCTGTGTACAGTTGGCAGCGAGTCTGTAGGACTCACCGAATAAAAATACCTCCAAATACTTTGGATATTGCTATAGTAACCGACTGCTTGCTCTGGAGTAAGAAGTAAAAGTTGCTTTCATGTATAATAAAAGTGTTCCAATATAATGTTAGGACTCTAAAAATGAAAATTCTTTCAGACCGACCAAAATGGAAGGTTTATTCCAAGAACTCCAGAACAAGGTTTTAATCTTAGGTATGAATCTGGGGAGGTGGGGGAGGGAGGGAGGCCTCCATCTCCGCCGATGTGTGCACACTTCCCTCCGTCTCTCTTCAGGCATGTGCAGTGCAGGTGCTAACCCTGTCAGAGCTGTCCCCTCTCCCAAGCCCCAACTTGGGCATCTTTCTGGGCCCTTCTGGGTCATCCCGTCGCTCTGCTTGTTGGTCTGTCCCACTGTCTCCCATCATGTCTGTCCACCCACTCAAACACAGATCCGCCCAGAGGACCATAATACCCTCACACCCTACAATGCTGGAAGCCACAAAAAGAACAGGAGTTCTTAAGCCCCCAGGATGATGTAACTCGGAGAGGGGAGGTTGATCATAGGCACCATGCAGGAGCACATACAGTAGCTTACTGTCCCGACTTCAGACAATCTGACTTCTAGCATTGCTCTGACATACTAGAAATTACTAAGCTTGGTAAACAGCTGATAGTAGCATCCATGCCTTTATTCATTCATGCTTTCATTCTTATCATTTCTGAAGCTGAATAAAAGAAAAGAGCCCCGGGAACCGATGGTGATCACACCTATTTCTTGCAACCCTGTAATTTCTGCCTCACTAACCCCTCGCAGTGGCCAATTTGCTAAACCTAACAAACTCTGACCTTGAGTCAGCACCCAGTGAGGAGCTGCAGAAGGCTTTGGAAGACCCGCCTCTCTAGCAAGGCAGACTGTAGTCGCTTAGGGAATGAACTGGATATATCTAGAGACAGGGAACCAAGTGTGACAGAATGTAAGTCTAAGTCTTAGAATTATACAAGATTAATTACAAAGTGAGGTGACGCTGGATGGTAGTGGTGCTGATGCAAATTAAAAGACATGGATTTGAAAGTGACTGACTGAAAGAAATAAACAGAGGCATGCGAGGGTCAGGCAGAGAACAGGACTTGGAGACTGAGAATTCTGGGGCCTTTGATAGGAAACAGGACCTCTTCCCTACACCTCCCACACTCCGTGGGGGCTGCCTGGCCTTCCCTTCCTCCGGAGCAGTCTGGATTCTTCACATCCTACCCCAATGCATGCTGGATTGACACGAGGAAACTCTTATCTCTTGCTTTTGTACATCATTTACTTGCTAGTGAGCCAAGTTACTTAACCTCTCTGGGCTTTTTTCCCCCTCATCTATTAAATGAAGATAACCACAGAGTCTAATGCAGAGGGCTCATGGGAAGATACATTTGTTTATTCAGAACAATGACTGCTATATGTAAGGATTCCAGGAAGCAAACTAGCATAACTGTGAGCACATTCAGAGGGTGATCTGTGATGTAGCTCCTGCTTTATAGAAGGAACAAACCTGGAGGTTTGATAGAGGCCCAGGGCCACACAGCATAGAAAGCAGCAAAGCCAGTGATAGAACGGTGTCTTCCTAGTTCTTGTTTCTATGCTCTTTCCACTAAACAAACAAGTAGTCTCACATTCACCACCAGTAACTAGGGCCATGAAAGAAACTGTAAATGTCAGAGGCAACATGAAGATGGGACAAGCTGCGGTGAGTCAGAACTCTGCAATTCCTGGGACAGCAGTGGTTAGAGGCTGGGAAGGGGTATTGATACCCACGATGACTATTTCTATGGAGCAGTCACCTACTCTTCTTTAGCTCCTCATTGCTATTGTCAACTGCATCTCAGTCACCGAAGATTCTTGATAGTCCAGACCTGACACCCTGACATGTGACCTGGTGTCTGACCTCAGACACGAGAAGGCTTGAACCACTGATATCTGAAAGGATCCAATGCGCCTTTTTATCCCCTGAATATAATTTCTGATCTAAATTCTAGGGTATTAAAAAAAAGTACCACTTTTCCCTTCAATCTGAATGTCAAATCATTTGAGGCTGTCTCCTAATTATCATTATTTATATATCACAGTGGTATAGTTTGGCATTTCACTAAACAGAGGAAGGCACCCTCCTAGCACTGCTACTTAAAAGACACTGGAGACAATACATTTATAAAACACCAGGTGAGAGGGTGGACACGTATCACCCAGGAGAAATTGCTGGCTTTCCCCTGCTCGGCTTGGGAGCCAAAGCATTCATTATCTCTCAGCTCCATCACTGAAAGCGCACGAGAGGCATGCTCTGATCCGTCACGGACCTAGATGACTTGTTAGAGGCACATGTCTGAGAAGCCATCTCACTGGTACAGCCCTAAGTGAGGAAGTAGGGTTCCTGAGCTAAAATAGTGACAACAGCCAAGCTCCCCAGAAGGAGCCACGGAGAGGAAATTACAGACAGGCATGACTGTCAGGAAGGACAAAACCTCCATTGTAGGTTTTCAACTAGGATTTAGGAAAAGTTCATGGAGGAGGGCATGCCAACCAGGCTCACACTGGGCAGTGCATATGAGCACCATCCAAGAGGAAGGCACAGTGAACAACAGCATGGAAGTGACATCCAGATTATGATCTGAGCCAGGTGCTGGTGGCTCAAGCCTGTAATCCTAGCTTCTCAGGAGGCAAGATCTGAGGATCAAGGTTTGAGGCCAGCCTAGGCAGACAAACCTGAGAGAGTCATCTCCAATGAACCACCCCAAAGCCAGAAGTGGAGCTGTGACTCAAGTGGTAGAGTGCTAGCTCTGAACACAAAAGCTCAGGGACAGCACCCAGGTCCTGAATTCAAGCCCCAGGACAGGTTCACAGAAACACACACACACAGACACACACACACACACACACACAGACACACACAGACACACACAGACACACACACACACACAGACACATGCGCACACACAGACACACACACACACACAGACACACACACACACCCTGATGCGACAGAAAGCATGGAGGATCGGCCTCTGCCTATACATTTAACCTGGTTGGCTCTCATGGTTTAGGTGCTGCCACCATCAGCTGCAGCCTCTGCAGAGCACGGATCCATTCTGAACACAGATCCCTCTTGTCATTCTGTCATTCTGGCTCGACAGACCTGAGGGCTTTGCCTCTTCCAGTTGTCCTGCAGGGTTCCTTCCTTTGAATCTTGGGTTGTCTCCAATGTGTGCTCTCATGTTCTGTCTCTTTCCAAGTTCCTCAGTCTCTAGCTAAGGCCAAGAACAGTAGCCTAAGACCACACGATTTCCAAGGGGCTGGTGGACCATGGTCTACACTCATCAAAATGTCCAGCAGTGTGGGAGACAGGCAGGGTGGAAGAGAAAGCAGGAGGCATGCTGTTCCAGCTCTTAGCGACCCTAATGTCACCAAAGGAATGTGAATGTTAGCTTGTGGGCTAAGGAAACCGCTGGAGAGAGAGGGGCAGTGGACTACAGAGCAGGACACGTGGGCAGAAACAAGGCCCTTGTGATGAGGAAAAGGGGAAGGATGGGCCACGAAGTCCAGAGAGAGAGACCATGAAATTCTACACAGGGAAGCGGGGGTAGGATGTGGCAACCAGATGTGGAGCAGTGGGAGGATGGTCCTTAGCAGCTTGGTGGGATAATGTAACAGGTTATTAAGAAATTCGGTGAGAAACATTGCTGCCCAGATGTGGCCTCCTGGGAAATGATGGGAGGCCAACCAATGGGCCTGGGGGAAGGCAGGCAGGAGGGTGGAGGTGGTGTGTGGAGAGGACCTCTCTCTGGAGGTTCTCCGCTGTGGCTCTTGCACATGATTATTAGTTCTTCCAGCCAGAGCCACTGGCCTAAGAAGCCAGCATATACCATCTTTCATAAGAAAGAGACCAAACAGGGAAGAGAAAAAGTAGAGACTTGAAGATTGAAGTCTTGTAGAGATTTGACATTTGGAGATCTGATTAAAACATTTTTGATTCTGACCACAGACAAGAGGGAGCCCACCACTGCAGGAGAGGCCCAGTAAGCTCTCTCCTCCCCAAGCCAAGGGCTCCCTCATCTCCAAGTACTGGCTATCAGTCTAGGAGTCCCTAATGGCTGTGTGCAAGGTTTGCAGAGATAGAAGACTAGACACACCTGTAATCTTAGCTACTCAGGAGACTGAGACCTGAGGATTGTAGTTTGAAGCCAGCCCAGGCAGAAAAAGTCTATGAGACTCTTTTATCTCCAATGAACCAGCAACAAACGGGAAGTGGAGATGTGACTCAAGTCGAAAAGCATCAGCCTTGAGTGAAAAAGCTAAGGGACAGTGCCCGGACCCTGAGTTCAAGCCCCAGTATCAGCATATACAAACACACACACAAAAAAAGAGTTGTCAAGGCTGATACACTTCAAAAAGGATAGCCAGATGAATGACAATAGTAATTCATGAGTAATCAGACTGTTTGACTGGTATGGTTTTAAATGATTAATGATTTTGATGATACTGGCATGGTTCTATATGCTCAAGTACCTGACAGTAAGTCATACTCATCAGTTATAATTTATAAGGTTGAAATTCTCTGCAAATTGTCCTTAGAAACCTGGCTTTTGACTATCCAAGTAGAGCATAGTTCAGCCCCAGTGCTGCCGCCCAATCTTTAGATCAGGATCTCAATCTCTTCTGGCCTGTGCCCACTTCCTCCCTGTTCCAGACAGAGGGAACTGTTTCTTCCTTCTTGCACAAACTGGCCTGGCTATGGCTATGTCTGTCTGGAGGCCTCTTCACCCAACGGTGGACTTGAGCATGTGCTCAGCTCTCCAGAGCCAGGTCAAAGATCATCTATCTCTGTGCAGAGCCTTCTCAATTTCCCCAGAAGATGCATGCTTCCTCTTCTCCCACACATGCCACAAGTCCGTTCTCATCACACACTGAGGAACATGTGCCTGTTCCCTCCATTTGGCCCCGTCTTTCAGGAGAATGAAGATCCTGGCTTACTCTTCATCACTATTTTCAGGGTGGCTTTTGAACTCCCATAACCCTCCCTTCTCTGGAGACAGGAGCACTTAGGCAGAGATGCACTGGAGGGCCCAGAGGCATGGAAGGCAGACCTCAGCCCGAGAAGTCACTGAAACGAAGTCCAGAGCAGCTGGTCTCTTAGGGATGTCAATGGAGACATCGGAGAGAGAGGTCTGTCTACTATTCAGGTTCCAGGAGTTGGCCTGGCCCTGCCCTCCCTAGATCAGCTCCCAATAATCCCTTTGTTGGTTCCTTGGTTCTTCCTTGAGTTCAGGACCTGGGCACTATCTCTGACCTTTTTGTTCAAGGTTAGAACTCTACCACTTGAGCCACAGTTCCACTTCTGGCTTTTTGGTGTTAATATGGAGGTAAGCGTCACATGGACTTTCCTTCAGGACTGGCTTCAAACTTCAATTTTGAGATCTCAGCCTCCTGAGTAGTTAGGATTATAGGTGTAAGCCATGAGCATCTAGCCTCACCAATTCTGTTGATTTCATGAATTTCTCCAACATCTTTTCTAAATTCTCTCCTTTTGTGTGCTTATTTTGTAAAACACATTTAAAGGCTTCTCTTAGCCTCTAGCCTCTGCTTATTCAGGCTCACGTCTCCCTCATGGCTTAGCCCTCAACTCACATTCTGGATGCTTCTTGTCTTAATGATTATATCTGACTTTTATGATCATTAGCTCCTAGGTGGGACAAGGTCATTGTGGGTATTACCCACAATGCCTCACGTCAGCACTTTGCATAGTCATTTGTGATTTGCTGGAGGACACAGACAACCCAGGCAATGGGAAAATGGCTGGGGTTTAGGCAGTGGTCTCATGGGTGCTGACCAGTGGTATGGAGGGGGCCACTGTAGAACCAAGTGCTAGGTTCTGTAGGTCAAGAAAGGCCCAGACTGTTGGAGAATGGTCCCTTCATGGTATATTTCTTCTAAACCACAAATTTATATATTTTATTTGATACATACAGGCATGGGTGAGAACAGTGCCTTCAGTAAGCCCATTCACTGAAAGGACACAAGGAATTTCTCTTATAGTTAGCTGATTGGAATATAACAATGTTCTACTAACTGTTTATCTTTCTCTTTCCCTATTTCATCCATTTCTTCTCATTCTTTTTAATCTCTCACTCTTTAGCTTTCTAGACACAGAATAGAAAATCAGTGAGTGTCCTTCCTGGGCCAGGCCTGTAATGCGTTAGATACATCTATTAATTAAAGACTTAAAAAGATATACTCATGATCTCAAGTGGGGCCGTTAGTCAATATTAACTTCCTGGCCTCGCTCTTGGGCCTCTTGGCACAGCACAGAAGGTAGTCCATGCTCTCTATATTATTGTTTGATGGTCTTTGTAAACTGTGCAATCTCTATTTTACTGTGGTCTTTCCTCTTCCCAAAAGGACCCTGTGCTCAGCATGAGATCACTTTTCTTCTCTATTGCCCTTTCCTAATATAAAGGAGGAAATCATCTGCCATTAAAAATTAGTTCCCATAGGTAAGAAGGGCCGGGAGAGCATAGAAGGGCAATAATATTTCTTTCCTTATACCATGTGCATGACTGGAAATGAGGTAGGAGCAGTTATGAGTGAAGAGAATTTTGCACATACTGACAACAAATGCCAAGCGAGTGCACGGGATGCATTCCGTTATGTGTGTTGTGACTCATAGATATAATTCAGTCTAGGTTAAAGCTCCAGCTGCTGTAACTACAGCCAGTTACTGAACACTGCTATTCTCACACTGGAATTTACTGTCTCCCAGGAGCTGTGATAAAGGTGAAAGATTCTGAAGGGCCAGTGAGATACTCGGGTCTCAGAGCTGGCCCCAGAGAGGACAGCCAGGGATACAAAAGGAAAAGTGGGGCGAGTATTAACCATTCACTGTGTGGGCAGTTCAGACTGCATTCCACACACAAGCTTGCACCCAGAGTGTTGAAAAGGTACAGGGGAGCACAGGGAAGGGATCTCTAATTCTAATGTTTAATGAGACACATAGCTCGGACAACCTGATTCCTGTGTGCAAGCCAGACACCTTGATGTCTGGTTGTAGAACTATGAACCTCTAAGCTGGCTGACAGACTGGCTGTGCTTCCAACACACTGCCTTCCCGAGGGCTCCCTGGGCATGTGCGACCTTGTCCGATGCTTCTCTACTTTCCAGCCTCACTCCTGACAATTCTTTTCCCAGTGCAATGCTCTTCCCTCGCTTCTCCCTGTACCCTAATCCAATATCTTCTAGCAATCCCCTGCCAAGCCCTCCCGCCTCCCAATTACCTTTGGCCACTAACTAAACATCTTGTGCTTGGCTGGACCATTTTTTGGGAATCTTACATCATGTTGTCACAAGTGTCACTTCTCAACCTCTAATTAGGCATCTTGCCACACCCAGACAAGATTATAAGAAGTTCATCACCCTCCTCCACAGTATAACCCCTGCTTTCACTATATTTGATGTCAGTATAACTTGTGGAGGAGATGGGGAAAAACCAGTTGTTTAAGGATACAGGTGGACCTGTTGCAACAATGAGAAGTACAAGTTGTCATGTCCAAAACGAGCTTTACAATGTTGGCGCGGGGGGGGGGGGGGGGGGGGGGGGGAGGAGAAGGATTGGGATTAGGGGGGGAGGGGGGAGGCTGGGAAGGGATGTGAAGGATAAACAAAGGAGGAGGCTGCAATGCTTGGTAAGAAATGTACGCATTATCCTGCCCATGTAACTGTAACTCCTCTGTACAGTATGTTCACAAATAAAATTAAATTAAATTTAAAAAAAAAAAAAAAAGAAGTTCATCAACACAGACTCGGTGGTAAAGAGAGATAGGGGAGAAGGATGAAAGGGGGACATTGATCTGGATTCACTGTCCTCACAAACTGACATGTTGAATTGAAACTCCACTGCAGAACCACTTACAGATAATTACACATAAATAACGCAAAAAGAAACAGAGCCCAGGTTCTGCGTTAGATATCAAACCCTGCTACTTGCTGATCTCACTGAGACTAAGGAAAGAGAACCCAAAAGTCCAATTCATTTCACACGTGGCCACCCGGAAATGAGTGTGAACTCACAAACGCTGCAGGGAGGAAAAGGACGCCGAGCTCATAGGAGCGAATCATCAGCTGGGTGCCGTTCTTCTCCAGAGCTCCCCAGGCGGCCTTGGACAGATTGGCACTGTGGAGACAAAGACACAGAGAGGCTGAGGAAGTTGGCGTCTTAGTTTGGGTCAGGCTCACACAGCTGTGAGGGGACTGGTCAAAAAAATATTTAGCAGCAATCACGTTTATTCAGTTTTTAGCAGAACTGAGGCAAGTCTGGAGAAGGGACTTTAAATCCTGCTGTGCTACAGTCCTTGGGATTTATCTAATAAAAATTTGGGATAGCTTTACCTCCTCATGTCTCCCCCCAAGCCCCACTGAGGGCAACTATTAAAATAATTATCTTTCCTTAGACATATTTATGCCTGAAACCCCTTCCCTTTATATAACCCTTTACGTACCCAGAATTTCTGGTTGTATTTTGTATCACAGTAAAATTTAAGATAAAATTGTATTATCTTATTACATATTTTAGTGTCCTATATTCCTCTGTGTGTGTGTGTGTGTGCGTGGTCAGGGCCTGGCCATGAGTTCGATTCCTAGTACCATACACAAAACAAAAACAAAGCTAACAACAAAACAACAATAACTCTATCTTGAATACTCAAGAGACTGAGAGCCACTTGTAGGTTGTCTAGGGGATGAATCAATATTCCTTGCAATATTTTTTTTACATTCTGAGTAATACTTTGAGTCACTGACGCCTGAGGCTGCCAGGAAGATGGGGAATGTAATTCCAGACTCTATGGCTGCCTGCTCAGAGTGTGGGCGGTCTATCTGTACATGCAGCGAAAGCACCAATGTGCTTTGTGAGGCACAGTGACACCATGATCTCTGGGAACTCCGCAGGAGTTCCAGCCTCTGTTCTCCATGTAGGACCTATTGTCTACTCATTTTCTTGTCCTTGTTTTTCATCTTTCTTCTGCCTCCTCTTGGGTTGAATTGCTTTCTCCTTGCAGTGCCATGGTGGTATTCTGTTGCTGAAGAGAAGTGAGGTTTTGCATTTACTTTGCATTTTCAGAGGTATGGAAGTCTAGATGTCCCAAGTTCTACTGATCATCAGAAACTCAGCCCACACTATGAATGACAAAAATAGTGGCTTGTAGGTATGAGGGGGTTGTGAGGGGACAGGTGTGAAAGGCAGAGCTAGGAGATGACCTATAAAATGTATGCATGCACGCGACAGGAATTTGACATTATGTCAGTGTGGGAGCCAGTTAAACAGTCTAGGACTATTATCTTTGTCCTGACATTGAAGCTAGAGCTCCATAGGGCAGCCAGAGCCTGAGGAAGGCAGAGAGAGAGAGCAAGAACTACAGCATGTACAGGAGTCCATGAAGACAGAAACCCATGTCAGTTTGTCACCTCTGCCATGGAGGCTGAGAGGCCATTCACCACAGGGCTGCATGTATACCCATGCGAAGCCCCCACGAGCTTGAGAGGCCGTAGAGGACCCTGGGAAGGGAGGGAGGCCCAGCTGCTGCTCATGCCGATAGGGTGAGCCAGCACTCAGGGCCTCATGATGGCATGTGCCCGCTTGTGTGTGTTGTCAGTGACAGCTGGTTCACATTTGCTCTCCAAATGTCCCTAAGAATTTGTCTTGGGGCCTATCATAGTCAGTAACATACAAGGAAGAGAATCCTGGAAACGTGGCTCAGCCTCGCCACTGAAGGGTGGTTATCTCAATGTTCGTGACAACACACTAGGCAAACAGCTGCACAAGAAGGGAGAGGGGTGCTATGAAGAACAATTTCTGTGGCCGCACCCCACACATCTTGGGTGATGGTGGCAGCTGCCATGGTCAGTGCCAGTTTGAGCACTGTCAGAACCACTGACTGGATTCACTGGGAAGCTTTTGTTAGAAGAGCTATGAAGCCTAAAAACGACTGGTTATGGGAGTGTGGGTCTGCGACGGGCAATGTGACAGTCCAGGCAGCAGCTGCACAAAGAATTCAGAAATGATTTACTGATGGAGATTTGGGCCACCAAATCCTGGAATGCCGGGACTGGGAAACAGAGCCTGGCAGATGCAGTCCGTTCTGTGAGCTTTGGATGCTGAAGACCAGCCTGGCAGCGGGGGTAGGAGGTGGAGGGGATGGGAAAGAAATGATGGACTCTAGTCACTGTTGCTCGAGCTCTTTCTAGAACCCTACAGCAGAACACTCTCTGCAAACACTCGGCCACTGCAAATTCCCTTCCAGTTTGCATCTGCTGTAGGTCTTCATGTATTAGCCTCGGGCAGTTCCTTTGTATGGACTATAATAAAGTTGTACAAGTGATCTGGAAAGATAGTCTCATTATTTTTTTTTTTTTTTAAAGATAGGTATGTGTGTGGGGGGTACATAAAGACAGAAGCTTTGATTTGAAAAGTTCTGTTGAATTTCCCTCTAAAGCATCTTTCCAACTCAGACTGCCACCAAAAACACATGAGTTACTCTTATCTTGGATCTTTGAGAACGATGGGTAAATACTATCTATGAAGGATTTTGTATTCTACAGACCAAATGTATTCCTTTAAATTGGATCTCTCTGATTTGGAGCGATGCTAAGTATTTTAAATACCTATAAACCACCTATGTGTAAGTCTGTGAACTATCTATTTAAAAATTATGTCTTTTTCCTTGATACACAGCGTAAACAGTACTTAACTGTTACTCTAAAAATATAAATTCATTGCCTTCTAGAGATCAGGAGTCCAAAATGGGTTGTGGTAGATGAAAAAATCGAGGTTTTAATAGGGTTTGAAAAATTCCTCTGGAGAATCTAGATAAAAGTTTGTTTGATTTTCCCTGATTTTGCTTGAGCTTTGGTTTTTCCATTTTCAAGGCCAAGGGGGTTGCCTGAGTCCTATTTGCAATGACATCTGTCTTGAATTCTCCCTCTGCCATTTTGAGTACCTCTGTAGTTACACACTTTGCCCATTTTCAGGCCTCCTTGAGCCCTTGACTCCAACTGCCTCAATTTCCCTTTGTGATTGGATACGATATAGGTCCATGTTTGAACACTGGGTTACTTTGCCTCCCGATATAGGTCCATGTTTGAACACTGGGTTACTTTGCCTCCCGATATAGGTCCATGTTTGAACACTGGGTTATTCTGCCTCCCTCAATTATGTTGCAACTGTTTCCAAGTTTGCTGACTTGGTTTAAACAATCCTTTTTATAGTTTGGAAGTTCTTGCTTTTCTTTTTTCCTTTGGGGGAAGGGGAGGGAGAAGAGGAAGGGAGTTATCCCAAGTTGCAATTTTTAACTTTAGAGCTTCTGAATACAAGGTCTTACTTCAGACTTTTCTTCTTCATCACAAAATACTATCTTCTCAGGAACTGAATTTTAAAGATAGTCATGAAGTCCCCCAAAATGTATCAGTCTTTTATCATCAAGAATACTTTACATCCTACTTCAAAGTCATGAGCATATTCTCAGTCTAAAGTTTTATAGTTTTAGCTTATTTTTTTTTTTAAATTTAAGTGTATCACAGAGCTAAAATTCATTGTCTGAGATAGGGGCTCAGAATTTTTTTTTTAAATCTTAGTTTCTGCTTCAGCACCATTTAATGGGAACATCACATTACATTAATACCCTTCTCAAAAACATCTGATTTTCATATCTATTGGTCTATTCTGCGTACTAACAGGTTTCTTACATGAATACACAGTTCCATGTTTTTGACAGTGAATCCTGAAAGTCATGTATAAGTCTACAAATGTTTTTTTTCTTCCTGCTGCAAGTTCAACCCCTCCCCCCCCCACTTTTTTTTTTTCGCCCCCCACGTTTTTTTGGCCTTACTGAGTTGGCTATAACCTCCAGTAGAATACTATCATCCCACTTCTTCAATGCCATCTTGGCTTGCATACTCATGTAAACTGTGGAATTGCTTGGTCTTCAAAGCTGTCTTGGCTAGTCTAAATAAATATATCGTATTTCTAAATGCATTTTTTGCAAACATGCCCACTGAGATTTTTGACTGAGACTTCAATGAAATCTTTCAATGACTCTGAAAGCAACTGATATTTCAAGAATACCAAACCTTCCAATTTTGTCATGTCTCTGTAATTTCTTTCAGGAGTGTGTTATGTGTACTTTTCAGAAGTCTTTTTTATCTATCTTAAAATTGTTTTATCTAGGTTGCTGATGCCCACTGATGGCATTTTATTAAAATTCCTTAGGATTTGGTGATTCACAATCATGTTATCTGTAAACATAGTTTTACTTCCTCCTTTACAACCTTTGCCTTTTATTTTTCTTGTCCTATTACATTGGCTATAACCTCCAGTACAATATAGCACAACAAAAAACAAAAACAAAAAAACCCAAATCTCATTTAGACATCAATCTACATAAGACTTGACTTGAAATCACTTGGTCATTTAAAACCTCCATACTTCTTTGACCTCATCTTGCTCAAACACTTAGTAGCATGTGACTTCATATAATTTTCTGTAATACTTTGACTGACTTTCTTTCTGTTTTCACCCTCTCTGGACATTCTTTTTTTTTTTTTTTGGGGGGGGGGTCTACTCGTGGGGCCTGAACTCTGGGCCTGGGTGCTGTCCCTCAGCTCTTCCGCTCAAAGCTAGCACTCTACCACTTGAGCCACAGCGCCACTTCTGGCTTTTTTCTTTTTGCTTATGTGGCGCTGAGGAATCGAACCCAGGGCCTTATGCATGCAAGGCAAGCGTTCTACCACTGAACCACCTTTCCAGCCCTGGACATTCTTTTTCTTCCATCTGATCTCTCAACTGTAAAAGCATACATGCCCCACCTTGTGTCATAACATTAACACACTGACAGAAGCAAATCTATTTGAGGTAAAGAGGTTACCTCAGGTCACAGAGAATTTTTGTATGTAAAGCCTTAATGAAAGATCCTTATCACCCCAAATTCAAAACACAAAATGAACTAAATCCATCATGAATAGAAGACAACAGAAAATAGGATTAAACTCACAAGATGTCCAGATGATTGACAAATTAGTAAATTAACAAAAAGTATATTAGTGTTCTGAAAGTAAAAAATCCTAAGGCATGAAAAACAATAGCAATTAGCACAACAGTACCATACAGCCAGGTGCTGTGCC